AAGCCTACAAAGCTGCACTTCAGTCATTGTTCCCCAACTCCCTGCAAAAAGAGCACTTAGTCTCTAATTGTTTTCATGGAAGATGAACTTGAGATATAATATTGCAGATTGGACCCCAGGTGTTTATTTTGTCCTAGTTTAATCATTTTTAGTACCAACAGATTATGGGGGCATGCATTTTTTTTTAATGTTGGATCTCTGAGCTATCTTCCACCCCGTTTTTGTACAGAAAAAGAGCTGTTTGTTCAGGAAAATAAACCAAATTGTTTTTGTATTATGTATTCTGCTTAAAATCATCCTAAAACTGAGCACATATGACTTTTTATTGCTTTATATGAGAATTTCAGAAAAGCTGCCGCAAAATCAATTATTTTTGCCCGCAGAAATCCTGGAGGGACTGATTAGTTAGTGATGGATCAAAATGTACAGAATGGTTACCTGGAGGAAAATGGGGAAGGGTCATGCTTTTTCAATTTCAGAAGGGGAGGGTTAGTATTTAAAAAAAATCTAGTCCAGGGGAGGGTCATGTAATTTGTAATTGATAAAATGTCTATATTTCTCAGTGTTTTAGAATGAGGTGCTTATCAGGCTATATATGGATGTGTGCCAGATGCCACCCCTCATCTCTGACTCTCAGCTGGGCGCAATATCAAGTGCACCTATAGGCTATTTAGTGTGGTGTCAATCAAATGATCAATTGCTTGTCCATATATGTATATATTCTTAAATTCCATTCCGTACTTAGGTTTGTGTTTATTGGGTATATGTTGTGAAATTGTTAGATATTATTATTATGTTCTCGCATACCCCGAGAGCATCTGGTTAGCGCGGCGGTGGCACAGGAATCCTCATCTCTCCCAAGTGGACATTCTCTCTTTTCCCCCTGACCCATCTGTCTATCTCCTCATTTGAATTCCATGCTGTCACAGTCACTAGCCCATTCAAGCTTAACATCCTTATCATTTATCACCCTCCAGGTTCCCTTGGAGAGTTCATCAATGAGCTTGACGCCTTGATAAATTCATTTCCTGAGGATGGCTCACCCCTCACAGTTCTGGGTGACTTTAACCTCCCTACGTCTGCCTTTGACTCATTTCTCTCTGCCTCCTTCTTTCACCATTACCCCTACTCACAAGGCAGGCAATATGCTTGACCTCATCTTTACTAGATGCTGCTCTTCTACTAATCTCACTGCAACTCCCCTCCAAGTCTCCGACCACTACTTCGTATCCTTTTCTCTCTCGCTCTCCTCCAACACTACTCACTCTGCCTCTACTCAGATGGTAATGTGCTGTCGCAACCTTCACTCTCTCTCTCCCGCTACTCTCTCCTCTTCCATCCTATCATCTCTTCCCTCTGCTCAATCCTTCTCCCTCCAATCTCCTGATTCTGCCTCCTCAACCCTCCTCTTCTCCCTTTCTGCATATTTTGACTCTCTATGTCCCCTATCCTCCCGGCCGGCTCGGTCCTCCCCTCCTCCCCCGTGGCTTGACGACTCATTGCGAGCTCACAGAACAGGGCTCCGGGCAGCCGAGCGGAAATGGAGGAAAACTAGACTCCCTGCGGACCTGTCATCTTTTCACTCCCTCCTCTCTACATTCTCTTCCTCTGTTTCCGCTGCTAAAGCCACTTTCTACCACTCTAAATGTCAAGCCTCTGCCTCTAACCCTAGGAAGCTCTTTACCACCTTCTCCTCCCTGCTGAATCCTCCTCCTCCTCCCCCTCCTCCCTCTCTGTGGATGACTTCGTCAACCATTTTGAAAAGAAGGTTGACGACATCCGATCCTCATTTATTAAGTCAAATGACACCGCTGGTCCTGCTCACACTGCCCTACCCTATGCTTTGACTTCTTTCTCCCCTCTCTCTCCAGATGAAATTTTGCGACTTGTGACGGCCGGCCGCCCAACAACCTGCTCGCTTGACCCTATCACCTCCTCTCTTCTCCAGACCATTTTCCGGAGACCTTCTCCCTTCTCCTCACTGCTAAAGCTAACTCCGTCTCCTCTGCTCTTGTCCTTCTAGACCTATCTGCTGCCTTTGATACTGTGAACCATCAGATCCTCCTCTCCACCCTCTCCGAGTTGGGCATCTCCGGCGCGGCTCACTCTTGGATTGCGTCCTACCTCACAGGTCGCTCCTACCAGGTGGCGTGGCGAGAATCTGTCTCCGCACCACGTGCTCTCACCACTGGTGTCCCCCAGGGCTCAGTTCTAGGCCCTCTCCTATTCTCCCTATACACCAAGTCACTTGGCTCTGTCATATCCTCACATGGCCTCTCCTATCATTGCTACGCAGACGACACACAATTAATCTTCTCCTTTCCCCCTTCTGATAACCAGGTGGCGAATCGCATCTCTGCATGTCTGGCAGACATATCAGTGTGGATGACGGATCACCACCTCAAGCTGAACCTCGGCAAGACGGAGCTGCTCTTCCTCCCGGGGAAGGACTGCCCGCTCCATGATCTCGCCATCACGGTTGACAACTCCGTTGTGTTCTCCTCCCAGAGTGCAAAGAGCCTTGGCGTGACCCTGGACAACACCCTGTCGTTCTCCGCTAACATCAAGGCGGTGACCCGATCCTGTAGGTTCATGCTCTACAACATTCGGAGAGTACGACCCTGCCTTACACAGGAAGCGGCACAGGTCCTAATCCAGGCACTTGTCATCTCCCGTCTGGATTACTGCAACTCGCTGTTGGCTGGGCCCCCTGCCTGTGCCATTAAACCCCTACAACTCATCCAGAATGCCGCAGCCCGTCTGGTGTTCAACCTTCCCAAGTTCTCTCATGTCACCCCGCTCCTCCGCACACTCCACTGGCTTCCAGTTGAAGCCTGCATCTGCTACAATACCATGGTGCTTGCCTATGGAGCTGTGAGGGGAACGGCACCTCCGTACCTTCAGGCTCTCATCAGTCCCTACACCCAAACGAGGGCATTACGTTCATCCACCTCTGGCCTGCTGGCCCCCCTACCTCTGCGGAAGCACAGTTCCCGCTCAGCCCAGTCAAAACTGTTCGCTGCTCTGGCACCCCAATGGTGGAACAAGCTCCCTCACGACGCCAGGACAGCGGAGTCACTCACCACCTTCCGGAGACATTTGAAACCCTACCTCTTTAAGGAACACCTGGGATAGGATAAAGTAATCCTTCTACCCTCCCCTTACCCCACCAAAAAAATATATATATTGTAAAGTGGTTGTCCCACTGGCTATCATAAGGTGAATGCACCAATTTGTAAGTCGCTCTGGATAAGAGCGTCTGCTAAATGATGAAAATGTAAAATGTATACAGAAGTAAAGGACAACAAACAATATACAAGTCACTAGAGAAACAGAAGGATCAGTTGACCTTGTGTTACCTATTCAAGCCCCGAATCCACACACACACTGCAGAATATGATTGTCTCTGAATGCAGGTGGAAGGGAAGTTCATAGTTCGATTATATAGCTAAAGATTAAAAATAACAAAAAAAAAAAGGTCAAAGGTTGTTGAAGTCAGGGTTGAGTCCCTTTTATTTTGTCATAAAATATCAGTGATGCAGTGTGATGGGTAAAATTCTGGAGAAATCCACAAAGTACAGCTCAACTGCTCCCCTTCAGTCTGTGTGGAGGAGGACAGAAACAGAAAGCCATTTGAAAGGTAAGTTGCATCCTTTCTTCAAGTGACGTTAGAATAGACCCAAAACTTTACCCAAGACATTTCTGTTCACAATACTGTTCAGTTAGCATTTGGTCTAGACACAGCCATGCACCATTCAATAGTATGGCCATACAGGGTGAAATGAGAAAATGGATCAATTGGCCCATATATTTTGCAAAATGTACTTAAAAATAGACCCCCCAAAAAAAATAGCATTATGAGACCTGTTCAACACTTACAGTCCCCCGACCTGTGATAGAGAATGGCACCCCTGGAAAAGTATAAAGTAATCCTGCTTCCCCCACCCCCCATAAAAATAAAAAAAATCATAAAAAGGGGTTGTCCCACTGGCGATCATAAGTTGAATGCACCAATGTGTAAGTTGCTCTGGATAAGAGCGTCTGCTAAATGATGTAAATGTAAATTCACTATATAGTGCACTACTTTTGGTCAAAACTGAATGACAGTTGGACCCCCCCCCGGACCCCCCACATCACCGTTGTCCTGGGTGTGAAACAAATACATATTCTCCAAAACAGTTCTAGTTCATCCTCGGTATGAATATAAACAAGAAATGGATTGGTGGCATGAAATCCCATCTTGTGATCACGACAAAGAGAAGACCATGGCTACGTCCCAGTTCACTACCCTGCACCTTGAAATGTGCACTCGTTCACTCAACCTCATGCATTTAAAAGGAATGGACTGGTGTGGGGAGTATGGTGGACTGGTGTGGGGAGTATGGTGGACTGGTGTGGGGAGTATGGTGGACTGGTGTGGGGAGTATGGTGGACTGGTGTGGGGAGTATGGTGGACTGGTGTGGGGAGTATGGTGGTGGTGGAAACTCCCTTTAGTCATGCTGCACCAATGCAATGCTTTCAAAAGCATGAAGGGGGATTGAACGAGTGGGTAGATTATCTGACTGTAACCCATTTAATCTTTCTTAATGCCATGGTTTTCCATTGTATACAGAACCCTGCCTCCCCTCACAACATGTAGGGCTTGGGGGGGAAGCGGATCGATCACAAAACAAAAATATATAAAACGCTGAACGATTATTGAATTGAAAAAATATGGAAAAAAGTAGTTGAGTGACGCTGCTCTTCAAGTGTATCTGTCCTCAGAGAGGGAGGGGCCTCAGAGAGGGAGGGGAGGGGTCCGTACACTTTTAAGAGGAGCCTCAGAGAGGGAGGGGCCTCAGAGAGGGAGGGGCCTCAGAGAGGGAGGGGAGGGGTCCGTACACTTTTAAGAGGAGCCTCAGAGAGGGAGGGGCCTCAGAGAGGGAGGAGCCTCAGAGAGGGAGGGGCCTCAGAGAGGGAGGGGCCTCAGAGAGGGAGGGGCCTCAGAGAGGGAGGGGCCTCAGAGAGGGAGGGGCCTCAGAGAGGGAGGGGCCTCAGAGAGGGAGGAGCCTCCGGTCTGTTGTTGAAATACATCAATAGTGTCCTCATCTTCCATCTCAAGCTGTCAACACAAATACAAGGTCATTAAGTCACAAAATAAGTAGCTTGTCTTTGTTAAATTCATTAGTAACTTATTAGTTATTCTGAATCTGTTATTTAGGACTCTTACGAAAGTGAAAGGAAACTGTCACCTACCTGTGCAGGTGTGTCGGTCTCGTTGATTGGCTGTCCGTCAAACCTAAACCGAATCTGTCTAATCGACAAACCCTGAAATAAAGAGGGGCATGGTTATGATATAAAAATAAAACATTGCCAGGCAAGTTACTGTGGTCAGGAGTTGCCCTGCAAGGTTGTCCAATCAGTCTCAAAGCTTTACATTGTTTTAGGTGACCAGAAGATTAAAATCAGATGAATGTAAACTTGAAGGAAAGCCATACCTGTCTTTCGCAGTATGCCTTCATCAGCTTGCTGAGCGGAGTGTGCCTTTTGATTTTGAACTGGACGACTGACCCATCTTGACCTGCAACCTTTAGGTTGATGTGGTCGTTTTCAGTCTTCACTCCTTCCTGAAACACAGTGGGGAAAGGATGGATTTCAGAGACACAATAGCTAACGTTACATTGCTTATATAGCTGATTATATCATATAACATAGTTCATGTTATCCATTAGGGACTGAGCAAACTTTTAGGCAAAAGCATCTCAACACGCATTGTAACATGTTAGCTAGCCAGTTAAGCCATGTGATAGCAGTGTGAAGCGCTAGCCTCCGCTAACGGTTGTTTGTGTTGTACCTTTATGTTACTAGGGAGTCCCATTGAGACCAAGTTCTCTTTTGCAAGGGAGACCTGCATCTCACTATAACGCAGGTTCCCAAATCACGGCCTCATAGGTTGATGAGTTCAGACTGGCGGTGAGCAATATGCTTGCCTGGCTTCAAACATGTGTTTGTGTTTACCTTTTTAGCTAGCAACATGTTAGCTAGCTCTTGCAACAAGAGCCCATGTTACCCCAGCTAGCTAGTAAACTGGCCTATCCATATCCAGGAGGTGGCAGCTCCGGTGGGAGTTCAGGCTAACGTTAACTGGCTCAAAAAGCCGCAAAGCGCTAACGTCGGGCCCTTTTCCAATGGTCACAGAAAAAAGTCACAATGGCGCTGTTTCAATTAAACCATCACTTTACAATACATGAAGAGTAGATATGTACTATAGAGTAGACTACATCTAGGCATACATCTATCAGATAGTTGGCTAGTTAGACATTTTTTCTACACGCAAAACGTTGCACCGCCATAAAATCCGCAAATCAACGAACCTTTGTTTTCTCTTTTTACCCGCTCAAATGCGGAATCTGGCATCTATTAGCCACATACACTCGACCGGCAGAATGCAAGGAAATATGGACAATATTCAATCATACACACAACATTGTTTACCTTTGGCTTTTCTTCAGACATTGTGTAGGTAGTTATTGCTCAGCGATGTACTAATTTACAGACGGATGGCTAAATATTTGCGCTTTTTCACTTCTCTCAGTCTTCTCCGTTTCGACCAGGAGCGCGCATAAGGTTTTAAACTCTAATTGGCTCACGGGGATCACGTGTCTATATATTATCGGGACCGTGCACACATGTGCGCGCAAATCTGTTTTATACGCGCTCCCGTGAATTAGGCAAGACCACACAGCCATTATTATTTGTGTTTTTATATATTTTTTAACCTCTTTTTATCCCCAATTGCGATCCAGATACGATCTTGTCTCATCGCTGCAACAAGATCTGTAAATCAATGTATGAACTGTGTAAAGATGACAAAAATAGACAACAGCACAATAAAATGATTTTTATAAAAACTCGATTTTTCAAATCGTCAGATTTGAGGAAAATCTCTAACATCAAATTGAACAGCTTTAATCTAGCACAAAGAGTAGTAAAACAAAAAACAGAAATGCATCACAAACCTTAACTATTTTACTGTTTTTGGACAACTTTTGATACAAAATCATATTCACACACACACACACAAGAACAGGAACATTTATTAACTTAAGGGAACACAGAGATACTGGAGATGTCAGTGTTTGATTTCATGAAACACACCTCAATATCACACAACTGTCTCTTTAAAATATGTAAATCAGAAGCTCTAACGATGACAGCGAAATATTGACTAATCAAAAGTAAAATATTATAGAATGTTAGTTGAAATGGTTGACAATCGTCTGTCTAAATGGATTGTTCTTAAATCATTGCATTTTAGGCACATTAATGGGAAGAGGAAAACCAAAATGTTCCCCCCCCAACTTTTTGGCAATACATTTTCAGAGATGTTTTGTCTAAGTACCAGGAATCCAATGTTAAAGACAAAAACAGAATAAGGAGTGATGCTACATTCAGATATCCAAACATTAAAAATCAAAGATGAAATGTTCAGATAGCAGTCGTTCCTAAACCAAATACAGTAAAAAATAAATAAAAAAACAACAACATTGACATAATGAACATCAGCACTAGCATTTAACAATCATACAATGAACACCATAATGTCATAAACACTGTATATTAGTTAACCAGAACAACTAGTATTAAACAGACTGGGCAAGAAACAGGAAATGTTTTGAAACGGAGTGTTGAAATGGAGTTCTGTACATTGTTAGCCTGGTTACCCATCCACATCGCTCAGGACAACTGACTCTCCTAGCCTGGTTACCCTGGTTACCCATCCACATCGCTCAGGACAACTGACTCTCCTAGCCTGGTTACCCTGGTTACCCATCCACATCGCTCAGGACAACTGACTCTCCTAGCCTGGTTACCCATCCACATCGCTCAGGACAACTGACTCTCCTTGCCTGGTTACCCATCCACATCGCTCAGGACAACTGACTCTCCTAGCCTGGTTACCCATCCACATCGCTCAGGACAACTGACTCTCCTAGCCTGGTTACCCATCCACATCGCTCAGGACAACTGACTCTCCTAGCCTGGTTACCCATCCACATCGCTCAGGACAACTGACTCTCCTAGCCTGGTTACCCTGGTTACCCATCCACATCGCTCAGGACAACTGACTCTCCTAGCTGGTTACCCATCCACATCGCTCAGGACAACTGACTCTCCTAGCCTGGTTACCCTGGTTACCCATCCACATCGCTCAGGACAACTGACTCTCCTAGCCTGGTTACCCATCCACATCGCTCAGGACAACTGACTCTCCTTGCCTGGTTACCCATCCACATCGCTCAGGACAACTGACTCTCCTAGCCTGGTTACCCATCCACATCGCTCAGGACAACTGACTCTCCTAGCCTGGTTACCCATCCACATCGCTCAGGACAACTGACTCTCCTAGCCTGGTTACCCTGGTTACCCATCCACATCGCTCAGGACAACTGACTCTCCTAGCCTGGTTACCCATCCACATCGCTCAGGACAACTGACTCTCCTAGCCTGGTTACCCATCCACATCGCTCAGGACAACTGACTCTCCTAGCCTGGTTACCCTGGTTACCCATCCACATCGCTCAGGACAACTGACTCTCCTAGCCTGGTTACCCATCCACATCGCTCAGGACAACTGACTCTCCTAGCCTGGTTACCCATCCACATCGCTCAGGACAACTGACTCTCCTAGCCTGGTTACCCTGGTTACCCATCCACATCGCTCAGGACAACTGACTCTCCTAGCCTGGTTACCCTGGTTACCCATCCACATCGCTCAGGACAACTGACTCTCCTAGCCTGGTTACCCATCCACATCGCTCAGGACAACTGACTCTCCTAGCCTGGTTACCCTGGTTACCCATCCACATCGCTCAGGACAACTGACTCTCCTTGCCTGGTTACCCTGGTTACCCATCCACATCGCTCAGGACAACTGACTCTCCTAGCCTGGTTACCCATCCACATCGCTCAGGACAACTGACTCTCCTTGCCTGGTTACCCATCCACATCGCTCAGGACAACTGACTCTCCTAGCCTGGTTACCCTGGTTACCCATCCACATCGCTCAGGACAACTGACTCTCCTAGCCTGGTTACCCATCCACATCGCTCAGGACAACTGACTCTCCTTGCCTGGTTACCCATCCACATCGCTCAGGACAACTGACTCTCCTAGCCTGGTTACCCATCCACATCGCTCAGGACAACTGACTCTCCTAGCCTGGTTACCCATCCACATCGCTCAGGACAACTGACTCTCCTAGCCTGGTTACCCTGGTTACCCATCCACATCGCTCAGGACAACTGACTCTCCTTGCCTGGTTACCCTGGTTATCCATCCACATCGCTCAGGACAACTGACATTTCTTCTCCACGTTGAGTCTGGATTTCCCTCCCGCCTCGACAATTTCTAGAATGCGAACACATTCTGACCGTTCTGATTGGTCACAGAAACCGATGGATTGGGTCAGAGCCAATCTACAAGATGTTATCAACTTTGATCATCTGATATGATTTTGATTTGATATATTAGGATCCCCATTAGCCAACGCCAATGCCGACGGCTAGTCTTACTGGGGTCGGAGACATAACAAAAAATACATGACAGACAGACTTTATATACATTTAAAAACATTAACATGTAGTGTGTGTATACAGTAGATTCTGAAAGTATTCAGACCCCTTGACTTTTCCACATTTTGTTACTTTACAGCATTATTCTAAAATGGATTAAAAAATGTCTAACAACCTCTTTTCGCTTTGTCATGGCATTCTCTCAACCAGCCTCCACCATGCATAAATTGTGGCAGACCAGGGGGTTTGATCTAGATGTTTACACAGATCAGACACATGTGTGATACCTCAGATTCAAGGTGTTTATTTAAAACAATGAAGAAAAAGAAAAGATACCGGTCTCCTCCAGAAGAACTCTTCTGGGTTACCACCTTCTGGGCTCCGGGGAATGCGGTCTCCTCTGGGGTAGAACCCCGAGCCCCTCGGTTCTATCAGACCGTGAGGACGTCTGTCCGGTAGCAACCTCTCACTACCTACTACCTCCCACCTCTCCCCCGTGCTGCCCTCCTGACAGCTTTATGGGCCCCGTACGGCTGGTGAGCAATCAGCCCCTTGATTACTCACCAGCCTCAATCAATCAGCCCCAATTAGTCCTGGCCGGAGGACACAGCCCATCTGAAATTAGCCCACCCAACTACCTCATCCCTATATTGTTATTTATTTTGCTCTTTTGCACCCCAGTATCTCTATTTGCACATAATCTCTTGCACATCTAGCATTCCAGTGTTAATACTAATTGTAATTATTTTGCACTATGGCCTATTTATTGCCTTACCTCCATAACTTGCTACATTTGCACACACTGTATATATATTTTCTGTTGTATTTCTGACTTTATGTTTTTTACCCCATATGTAACTCTGTGTTGTTTTTATTGCACTACTTTGCTTTATCTTGGCCAGGTCGCAGTTGTAAATGAGAACCTGTTCTCAACTGGCTTACCTGGTTAAATAAAGGTTAAATAAAAAAATAAATAAAAAATAAACACGTCGAGACCTGACACGTCCAGCAGAGGGAGGCACCGCCGCGTGATGCAGAGTCTGTCACTCGAC